ACAGAGACTAATAAGAAACTTTGTAAACTCGGAAGCAATGATACAATAACTTACCTTTTCCACAGTCACATATTATTTAACAATCAGTTCCTCACCTGAAAAAAAAATTGCATATGCGACTCAGAACTCTACACAGTTTAACATTAGCGGAAATCCCGAAATCGTAACCACAAGTGATAATACTAAGGTGACCGATGACGCGTGCGAAGTTCTACCAGCAAAGTCTTTAATTGGAAAAATAGCATTAATTCGTCGTGGAGCCTGTACTTTCGCACAAAAAGTGGCTAATGCTCAAGCAGCTGATGCAATCGGAGTCATAATCTATGATTATAAACTTCTCACGCCATTTATAAATTCTACAGCGATAAAAATTCCATTCGCGTTAATTAAGGCAGAGGATGGTGAATTTATATTTGATCAAATGCATAAGAACAAGAAGAATATTAAGATTACTTTTTATAATGAAACTCTGCCATTTACGAATCCAACAAGTGGGAAAATATCATCTTTCAGTTCATTGGGCCCTTCATATGAGTTAGATATTAAGCCTGAAATTGCTGCGCCAGGTGGTTCAATTTTTAGCACATATCCCATTAAACTTGGTTCTTATGAAACATTAGATGGTACAAGTTTTGCAACACCGTATATAACAGGTTGTGTGGCGATTCTTTTCGAAGCAAAGGGTAAATTGAGTGCAGATGAAACAAAAAAATTGCTTATGAATACTGCGCATCCAATTGAAGTATTGGCTACTTCAAATCAAACAGCAACGCAAACATCGATTGCCGGACAAGGTGCTGGACTAGTTAATTTATTGGATGCATTATCTTCAACTATCAGCATCTCACCTCCTAAGCTACCATTAAATGATACCGCGAATTATAAAGCTTTAAACACATTAAATGTTAAAAATTCTGGAAAAGATATTGTGAAATTAACAGTTACACATGTTGGAGCGCAAGCAGTAAGTGGATATAATTTCACGGAATCATTCGTGCCACGAGGAATACCAGTATATCAAGACTCATTTGCCGAGGTAAACATCTCAGAATCGTCGATTGTGCTTGGACCTGGACAATCAAAGAATATTAAAATTGTAATCAAGCCTCCAGCTGATTTAGATAACGATTCATATTTTATTTTCTCGGGATTTATCCTCTTCTCGGATAAAGCCGGTAATAAATCATATAGTGTTCCGTATATGGGAATGAAAGGAAACTATAAAACACTTCCAATCCTTGATACTGCAGTTGGTACACCATTCATTCAAACAGAGAACCACGAAATATATCGAAATCACAGTCAAAATGTAACTTTTACTTTACAAGGTGATGATTGCCCAATATTAGCTGTACGTCTTGGACAAGGAACTCGCATTCTTGCTATAGATATAGTTCCTGCGGACAGCAAAGTTCAATCAAATGTTGGCGAGCTTAATAATCGCATTTCGTCACCATTAATGGCCGAAAAATTTCCTCAGGATGATCAAGTTCCCAACGGACAGACAAATTTAACGCAATCAGATACTCAAATCAACCGTAATTTTCCTGATTCATTAGGTAAAATTGCGAAAGAAGGTGTTTTTTATTACGCTCAACGCAATCAAGATACCGGGTCAAATAATGGTTATTTATTTATCTGGAAAGGTAAAGTGGATACCTACGATGGTAAACGTGATATTGACGTACCTAATGGATCGTATCGACTAGTGGTGTCAGCCTTGAAATTGTATGGTGATGAAAAGAATAAAAAAGATTGGGAAATATGGGTTAGTCCACGACTGGATATCCAACGTCCATATTTTAAATTATGATATTATTAGCAGCAAAACATCGCCTTTGTTGGTCCTAACTTATAATTCTAATAAAAGAGAAATAGATTAATCTTATCATTTTTAGTTTATTGGCTATTATATATATATTACACTCCTCTAAATGAATATTATTAATGAATATTATATAATGATTCACATTTCTTTTAATCATGCTCTCGGAGCTGGCATTATAATACGCGTTAATAGTGTATCGATTTTTTGTAGATTATAATGAATGCCACCTTGTTCTATGCTAACAAAATGAATTTACGTCGTAATGAGAAATCAATGAAATATAGCGTGCAACACTAACTGTGATATGAACGACAATGAAAATTATGGATAATTAATTCCAATGTTAGAAAAACTGGGATTTTGATGGAGGCAATAATATGTGACTGTGGAAAAGGTAAGTTATTGTATCATTGCTTCCGAGTTTACAAAGTTTCTTATTAGTCTCTGTATATCCAGTGTATATTTCATTTATTTTGCGATTCGCTCGAATAAAAAACGCGTTTTCGAGAAATTCTTATACATCAATTTAAGATGGTCATCGTATTCTGCACTCAAAAAATTATTATTATCCAATAGACCGAAAATAGTCAGAATGGAAGGTGAAAGCGAGAAGTTAATTAAAGTTCTCTAACTATGCTTGTCGAGTGATTAATGGGTACGTCTTTCAAGTGGATAATGAACGATGTAAAAGAAATTGGTAGCTGTTTTTCACTTTAATGTCAATAAAAATTTTGATTTGTTACATGTTGATTAATGTGCTTTCTTGTTTATCGTTATCACCTCTGCTTAGAACAAACAAGGTCATGTTAAGGTTAAGTAAACCACTGACGTTGTATTATGAAATTGTTATAGAACTATTAAAAATATTATATCCTTTCATAAGAATATAGTGTAAGACTATTAAATGTTCGCACAAGCTTAATATAATACGTCTGAGTATTTCGGAACATAAATATGTAAGACTAAATACATGTACATGTATGTAAATTACTTTATATGTTACTGTCTATGCAAACTCATAACAAGAATAATATTTAAATAATGATTTTACCTTCATTTGGAACATATAAGTTGGTACGTGTAGTAGGTTCGGCATCAATAGCTATATCTAATACAGTAAGCATATATACTATTAATATATGCAAAAAATGTATTTTTATATATGGGTTGGTGCAAAAAGATTTGTACCTCAGATAAATATTAATAAATTATTTTTTCAAAATAAAATTTTAAT